GCCCCTGTCCCCCGTCCCCTCGCCGCCGTCTGGCACCGACCCCCCCATGTACTGCTTCCCCAGCTCGGGCTGCCTGCCACTCCGCACCCCCGCGGCTCCCGGGACGTTCTGTTTCCCAGCCCGCCGTGCCCCTCTCTCTGCCCGCCCACGCCTCAGCCTGTTCCCAGGCTCTGTGGCCGTCCCCGAACCCTGTGCACCCCTTCCCCCGAATAGCTCAGGCACCAGCCCCGGGGTGCGGTGGAGACAGAAACGGCCTGGCCCTGGGATCCTGCTCCCTCCCAGCACCGAGGGTCTTCTCTGCCCTTCTTCCTGACTCTGCCGTTCTCCCCAGTGTCCCGCCTGCACTGTGAGAGTGAATCCTTCAAGATGGACCTCATCCTGGACGTGAACATCCAGATCTACCCTGTGGACCTCGGTAAGCCATCAGGCTGCTAGTCCAGAGCGTGCCAGGATGGAGTGGGGTTAGAGAGGCGCATGCTGGTGCTCAGAGGAGGGAGATTGAATTTGCTGTGAACAATGAATGAGCTGTCCCTGACTTCCTTGGGCCCCTGTGCTGTCCCCAGATCACAGGAGGTGCAGGGCACACTCAGTGTGCTGGGGCTGAGCAGGATCCAGGTTTGCCTCGCTGTATTTGTTTGGGCTCGTGTCTGGCCCGTTCCTCAGAGACACTGTCTAGTGAAACTGCCTCAGCTGGTAGCAACTAAGCTTCGAGGGAGACCTTTTGAAATGAGCTTCTGTGGCTGAATATACTAAACAGGTGGGAAATAAAATCTTACTCTCAGTGAAACGCAGAAGGGCTGGAGCTGGTGCTGCAGGATCTCGTGTACTTGCCAGGGCTCAGCCAAGCCCTTTGGGACTCTCCCTGTGAATCTCTTGCTGTGTCCTATGAAAACACCGTTAGTGGTGTCCTGGTGGCCCTGGTCTCCTCCGTGGTGGCAATGAATGTCTGTGGGGAACCGGGAGACAGAGGATCCATTGTGCTCTCTTCCTCGTTCCCCCCAATCCTGTTGGAGGACTGAATGCAGGGACGGGGGGTTGTGCTAAACGCATCAGGGCGGCTCCTTGCCACTGCCCTGCTGTGGGCACCACTGCTCTGGCTGTGCCCGCTGCCTTCTCACCGCTCCTCTGCCCTCTTCTCCCAGGGGACAAATTCCGCCTGGTCATCGCCAGCACCTTGTATGAAGATGGCACCCTGGATGATGGCGAGTATAACCCTACGGACGACAGACCATCCAGGTACAGGGGGCCAGCCAGGACCCACGTGGGGGTGGATGAGGGAAAAAGCGAAGTGCTGAGTGGCTGTGAGGTACCTTCTCCCGAAAGACGCTCAGCTGGGGCAACACCTGGTTTGACTCTTCTCTGAGCTCCCACCGTCCCGTCGCAGGGCAGACCAGTTTGAGTACGTGATGTACGGCAAGGTGTACAGGATCGAAGGGGATGAGACCTCCACGGAGGCAGCCACACGCCTGTGAGTGCCTGTCGGCCGGAGAGGGGGGACACGGTGGTATGGTGGAGGCGCCAGGATCCCAGCCTGGGTCTCCTGTGGGATTTCCCACTCTGATCACTCATCTTCTCCCACCCCAGCTCTGCCTACGTGTCCTACGGGGGGCTGCTCATGCGGCTGCAAGGAGATGCAAACAACCTGCACGGGTTTGAAGTGGACTCTCGAGTTTACCTGCTGATGAAGAAGCTGGCCTTCTAGGAGACTTCCTGCCTCCATGGGCTGCCCCAGAGATGTTCTGCTGGCGAGTAAACAGGAGCCCTGTGACCCCAAGTCCTGCCCCGGCATCTGTGCTGCCTGGTCTCTCCAGAGCTGGGGAGGAGGGAGCAGTCCCCCTCCTCATCCCGGCGTCTTCTGACTCCTGCTAGGATCTGCAGCCCCCTCCTGCATGGAGTGAGGAGCCTGATGGCCAAGCAGAGACTGAGCTGGGTGCTCTGCAGTCCTACCTGCTGCGCATCTCTTCCACCTCTGCCTTCTGCGCTTCTAAAGCGGGCTCAGCCCCGGCTCTGGCCAGCTGGACTGGGATGGCCACCTGTCTGCCTTGGGGCTGGGGACCGTCCTGAGGAGCCATCCTGAGGCAGGCTGGGCTTGTTCTTCATTAAACTGGGATGTTTTTTCTAGATGTGGCTCTGCTGGGTGGGAGATGAGGCTGGCAGGGAGCGGGTATGCCTGCGCGAGGGCGTGGGGGGCCCGTTCTGCTTTCCCAAAGGACGGGCAGTCCAAACCTGCCCTGGGCTCTTCCCTGCCACCCCTCTGGGCGTGATGCGCCAGGGTGAGCAGGTGGGTGTGGAGGGCGAGGAGTGGCAGCCCACGTCCCGAGTGGGGTCTGGTGCCCGACAGAGCCCACCTGCGCTGCAGAGCTGGCAGCTGCCGCAGGAGGGAGCTGGGCACTCGGGAGAGACCCGGAGCGTGTCCCCAAGGGGCTGCCTCTTACTGAGGCCCCTGGGAGCGTGCGATCCCCCTGCCAGGGCTGCAACAGAGAGGAAAAAGAGCACACAAATGACTCTTTAGAAAAATAGCTCTTTAATTGTAAAGCATTCACAGTAGAGGTGCCTGCCTGGGTGGGAGCAGCGTCTGTGCCCGCTGGCGCGTGGGTGTTGTTGCTGTCTGCCTCCGTGGGCCGCGTGGTCTCCGAAGGCTTGAGGAGCTCACCCTTTCACTGCGGGCACCTTCCTGGGCACCCAGAGCACAGCTCAGTGTCCGGCAGGATCGCTCTGACCCGGGATTGGGGGTGAGCCCTGTGCACAGCCTCACCGGGCCCCGCACCGGGAGTCTCTGCCACCCCCCTGGCCTTGCTTGCACAAGTCTTTGGCCAGGTCGTGGAAGAAGAAGCGCAGCTTGCCCTGCACCAGCTGCTGGTAGGTGAGGAAGATGCCAGTGATGTGGGTCTGCTCCATGGAGCGTGGGGAGCAGCCCGGCTCCCAGGGTCCTGCCTGAGGAGCAAGAGTGGGATAGGGGGGTGACAAAGCTGTCGTAGCCAGCCCAGCGCAGCCGTGTGCCACGGTGGTCTGGCTCACGTGGGGAGGTCTCACCTCCCAGCCGAAGGTCTGCAGGAGCTGGAGGAAGGAATTGGCCTGTCGGTAAAGCTGGCTCAGCTGCCTGGTCCCGCACTTCTGGGTCACCTGGTCCCGGGCCCCCACCACGGCACCCACCAGCAACGCCAGGTCGCAGAGGATCTCCCGCCGCTTGGTCTCATTCTGGGGGAGCAGGCAGTGAGCGGGCTGGCCCCCGGACCCAATTTATTCCTCTGCCCACCCTGGGTCTGAATGGGGTCTTCCACCCTCCTGTGCCGCTAGGTATGCCCACAGGCATCTTGTTCAGCATTTCTGGTGCCTGTGCCAACCTGGGGGGTCCTTCTCCAGCCCCACGGGCACCCCGGTGCCAGCACCGTTCTCCCAGCCCCTCTCACCGATTTGGATTTCCACTGCTGGAGGTTGATGTCCACCAAGGGCAGCACCGCGGGGCAGCTGAGTGCAGGCAGTGCCTGGCACTGGCCCTGGGGGGCAGAGGAGATGCTGGTGTGAGATACCAGGAGCTGTGCCTATCCCTGTCTTAGGTTTTGGGGGGGAGTGGTATCCTCACCGCTCTCTTCTCCATGTCCTTGGCCTCCTCGATGTACTTCTGGATGAGTCTCTTGTCGCAGACCAGCCCCGTTGGGTTGGCGCGGCCATCTTCCATGTGCAGGAGGAAGGATGTGAGGAGGAACAGTCCTGGGGGAGACAGGGTTACTTTGGGCACAATGCCACCCTACCCTGGCAGCTCCAGCCCAGGGACATGCCTGCAGCAGCAGCAGCCCCTCGCCCCAGCCCAGTGGTGGCCGTGGTGGCCCCATGGCAGGGGTGCAGAAGGGAGGTCTAGGGGGGCTGAGGAGGGTCTGGTGCTGCCCTACGGTCAGGGAGTGCCGGTGCCTGGTGCTTGCTGGGGATAGCTGGGGTTTTCCAGCCAGTGGTGTGGCCGAGGGGCCGCACAGCCACGTTTTGGGGGGGAGCCAGGTTTTTTGGCTCCGCAACAGGCGGGGAGCAGAGCTGTGCTCCCTGCGCAGATCAGAGCCAGCCCTTCCGATCTGTGCCCGGAGCAGCTCTGGCTGTCACGTGCACTTCAGGGAATCCCTGCCTGCGGCATCCCGCAGCGTAGGTCTGCTGCTCGCCGCTGCTCCAGCCGAGGGCTTGCCTTCCCCAGCGCCGCCTTCCCCAGCACTGCTGGCACGCTGCTGCCCTGGGCACCTCTTGGCCAGGCAGCTCCTGTGCCCGATGACTGCCCAGCCTGTTGACAGGTGTCTCCTCTCCAAAGGCCCTCTGTGCATCCACCTGCCTTGCTGCCCACCTTGGTGCTACACCTGTCCCCAAAAGCCCTCGGCGCAGCCTGTTTCCCAGGGCCAGACACAGAGAGATGCTCGGTTGCCCTTGTGCACCAGTAGCAGCCAGGTCCGACCAAACCAGAGCCACCTTTGAGGTTTGCTGCCCGCACGTGGGGCTCATCTCCTGGGGTGCCTGTGTGGGGGCTGGCTGCGGAGCCATGGTGCCCACGGCCAACGCCATGCCCCTTCCTGCTTGCTCCCGTCCCCCCCTTTTAGCCGCACACTCACTGTTCAGCTCCATGCTCAGCTGGGGGCTTCGGCCCTGCATCTTCCACCCTGGGGCCAGCGGCTGCTGCCCGGCTCCCGTCTCCCTTCCATGGAGGGCGGCGGTGGCGCGGGCTCCCCGCGAGTTGCCCAGCCGGGACGGAGG